CCCCCCCGCTGGAGGCTGGTGGCCAGGAACCAGGGGATGAGCGCTCCCCCGCCCCTTCCTACAGCTTCGCAGGAACCGGGGAGTGAGTGCTCCCCCGCCCGGCGGCTGGCGGCTGCACAGCCACAGGAAGAGGCGACCAACCACCTGGTGAGTAAAAAAAAAAAAATTCTGTATACCCTGCACCCGAGTATACCCCGAGGGGGGGAGGTGTGGGGTTTGTAAAAATGAATATAACCCGCAGGTTATATTTGCTAAATTACGGTATCTCCTGATAATGGACCAGCTCAGTCCATGGCTGGATTCTCTTTTGCTCCATAGGCCAGACAAAGAAAACATGGGGTACGTTTTTATACACGGGTACAAACAAATTGCATGTTACTTTTGACGTATCAGGTTTGCAACCCTCTGACACTACCTAGTTATCCATCTTGTACGTGGGGGTTCATTCATTAGCATGCTGTCAGTTTAGACCCTGTCCTGAACCTATATCGCTATGTCTGTTGTTTGTTGGAGTGTGTTTCTTTTCAAAGTGTTCTGTTACGACCCCTCTGTAATGTAGCCTGTTCTTAGTACCTCTTAGGTAGGAGTGTTTCTGTAATATCAGCCCTGTTCTTGCCAACTTCTGTGAGCAGGGCCTGCCTCTTGCTCACAGCTTAACTTTGCTTTATATTAGCAAAGTCTTGACCATTGTGCCTAGGCCTCAGGCCTCACACCAGGCCTGTGATACATGGGCTTATGTTTCAGGCCCTCATCTGACTGAAGGGCAGTTAATTCACCTTCTTGAGAGGTACAGTAGACTTCCGATAATCCCGAGGTGGTGCCGGATTATCAGATATGCCGGACTATCAGGAGGTACTATAAGATGGTTTTATTTTTATATATATATATATATATATACACACACACGCACGCGCGCGCGCGCACACATTATATACTGTATATAAAGTGTTCTTAACCCTTTTTATTGTACATACTGTATGTTATTGTATTGTACATATACAGTATGCTGTAATGTTTTCGTTTTTTTAAGCCCTTTTTACACCTTTTGCTCAGTTCAGCTGCTGTCACTGTTACCTTGTAACTCATTTTTTGCCGAAGTTCACTCACTAGGCTCTTGCCATTTTGATGCCGGACTATCAGGAGTGCCGGATATTGGATGCCGGACTATTGGAGTTTTACTGTAGTAGCTATGTTGATGGGAGAAGCTGTGCCAATGACATAATGCTGTCTGCATGGGGAGGTTAGGTTGGTATAACTGCATTGCTCAGGGAAGTATGCATTTTTCACATGACTAAGCAACATAGTTATACTGATACAGGTCTGTAGTGAAGACCAGACTAAGCTTTTGAATGAGCTCACACAAAAAATCATAAAAGACAAAAACAGTATATCCCTTTCACACACAAAATGAACACTCCATATCTGATCTTTCAGACTTTTTCCTCAAAGGAAAACTGCACATCATCTTTAAAACATGATCCTGGAAGCTTAAAGTTATAACTTTACTGGACATTAAAAGTCATTATCTTAATAAAGACAGTGTATTTATTGTTTGTTACAACAAATGGAAATCCTCTTAGCATTCCCTGCCTTTTTTTGTGTGTGGGACAGCAGTGCATAAATGGTCCACTTCACTTTGAAAGGTCTCTCACAATGTATTAATTAATTGTGCTAATCTGCTCCCCTTTGTTTCACTGTGACACTCAGAGGCTAGCGTATATATTGCACTTTCATCAGTAAAACTTTGTCCACCAACAGTGTGAGGAAAAACACCCATCCTGCCGGGGTGGCTAAAGGGGACAGTTACTCTGGGGTTTGGTGATATAAAAAGGGCCTGAAACTCCCAGCTGCTGCTACTGCAGCTGGAGCTGGAGCCCTGAGCCCTTTAAATCACTGCTGGAGTGCTGCGGGCTGCCTGGGGGAAGCATGGTGCTCTCCAGATGGCGCTGAGGGCTGCCTAGTTTTAGGCACGGCTCCTTCCAGGGGTGCAGAACAGCCTCCTCTTCACCCCCAGAAGTCCAGCCAGACTGTCAGCCCCGCTGCCTCAGACCGACAAAAATTTTACTGACCAAAAGCACTTGAGTGGACAGTGCTCTGCCCAGCCGACAAAGCTAAAGCTTCTCAGTGAGGGTAGTTTTATTTTGTTGGCGGGGGAATTCTCTTCTGCCAACCGAGAGCGGCTGCACTGCTACCTTACAGTGATACAGCTATGCCTCTGAATGGTGGGCAGGGTTGACATAGCTTAAGTACTTTTCCCAGACCTGAAGAAGAGCTCTATGTACCTCGAATTCTTGTGTCTCTTGCCAACTGAAGTTGGTTCAGTAAAAGATATTACCTCATCCTCCTTGCATGTCTAACAAGGAAACAGCAATCCTGAGTTCATGTGCTAAGAGAGATCATAATGGATCTGACCCTGGCAGCTTCCCTAAGAGATAGAAACCTATTTCTCCATGACACTTTCTCTTTTTCAAAAATGTCAGGCTGTCTTGAGTCATTTTGATTAAAAATTATCTCTTTTATGGAGCAAAGAAACAATGGGGCTAGTGAGCCCTATTTGGTCAATGATTAATTCTCTGAGATTACAACAGTGAACATAAATGATGCATCAAAGGACTGTTGATTTCAATGTGATGTTTAGCAATGCAGCTTTTTGGATTTCAGTGAGAGTTATACATTGATAAGGACTATAGAATTAAACTTTTAAATATAAAGGATTTATATAATTATAGTATGGTTTGAGAGTCTAGTAAAATAAGTTAGGAAGATCTTAAGAGAGGAAGGTCTTGTGGTATGGCCAGACAGGAGACCTGATGTCAGTTGTTGAATCTGCCACATGCTTCTTATGTGACCTTGAATAAGTCAGGTAGGGTGAAAAGCTTATTTAAGTGAGCCACATTTCTACTCCTAGTGTGTCAGTTCCCCATCACAGGTGAATTGTGAATATAAATTCATTGTTTATGCATAGGGCCCTACCAAAGTCACAGTCCATTTTGATCAATTTCATGGTTATAGGGTTTTAAAAATTGTAAATTTTGTGAGTTCAGCTATTTAAATCTAAAATTTCACAGTGTTGTAATGTTACATGTCTTGACCCAAAGAAAGTGTGTGGCGGGGGGGCAGGAGGGGTTGCAGTACTACAGTATTACCCTTACACCTGTGCTACTGCTGGCAGCGGCACTGCCTTCAGAGCTAGGCAATTGATGAATGGTGGCCAGGATCCTAGCTCTGAACATAGCACAAACGCCATCAGCAGTGCAAAAGTAAGGGTGCCACGGTTTGATGTTGCCACTCTTACTTCTGCGTTGCTGCTAGTGGGATGTTGCCTTGAGAGGTCATCAGCCGCTGCTCTCTGGCTGTAAGGGCAGTGCAGAAGTAAGAGTGGCACTACTGACCCTCCTAAAATAAGCTTGCAACTTCTCCCTTTTGTGTTAGGACCCCCAGTTTGAGATACGCTGGTCTCTCATGTGAAATCTACATAATATAGGATAAAAGTATATAAAAGACCAGATTTCATGGTGGTAGATCAGATTTTATGGTTCATGGCCATGAATTTGGTAGAACCCTAGTTATGAGGAAATCAGATATAATGGGTATTGGGTCAATATGAGTACCTAGACAGATTCACGCATCTGAGTTGGTAATTCGATAAAAATGCAGTTTTGTGTTAAATTTTACAATGTAAATGGATTTTTTTATAGTCTGAAATGCTTTCTTGTACATTGAAGCTTTTTTTGATAATAACATGCCATATATTCATTTGCCCATTTTTTTTAATCAGGTTTTTGTTTTCAAAATGTTGAGGATAACTACTCTTCAGCCTTTTCCCCTGTGTGTAATGCATGGATATCACAGCATGTGTCTGTCTTGCTGATTAGTAATGAAACATTAAAGGTTAGGTAATTGTGTGAGATACTGTGGCCTAAATGTTCAAACTACTGTCCAAAATTAGTTATCTAAGGAGATGCTTGTCTTGAAGAGTTGTCTAGCTTCCACCAACATATTGTGAGATGCAGGTTTTTAATACCATATTTGAGTGCCTAAGTTTAGGCATGAAAGCTGGAAAGTGTTGGACTGTATTTAGTTTCTTGAAATGTTCAGCTGGACTAAAAGTAGTCTTCTTTAGAAATAAATGTCTTTGTAGTACAAAAGAGTTTATGATGTCAAAAAATAGACCTGGGATAGAGAACCTCAAATTGTTATTTATAAATCATGTTTTATATATGTGAATATTTTTCTATTTCTAGGAACCATCTTTGTGGGAAAAAGAAGGCCCAGTGCCTCTGGAAACTCCTGCCGAGACCAATGGATCTGTGGGAGATCTCTCCAGTGAACCAGTTAGTCACCCCATCGAACAGCCTGATAAATTACCTCAGCAAGGCTTTCGCCGGCGAGCAAACACATTGAGTCACTTGCCTATCGAATGCCAGGATTCTCTAGAACCAGTTGAAACATCACCATCCGTTCCACAAAGGAAACTTATGAGGTATCATTCAGTGAGCACAGAGACTCCTCACAGGCGAAAGTAAGACTCATTTTAAAAGCAGGATATTGTTTGATAGATATTTGGGGAAAATTTGGGGATGTTCATTGCACCTCAGGTATGTTCATTTAACAAAAGAGAAATATAGTGCTTAGTGTTAGAGCAGTATGTCATCCTCTTAAAATATATTTAGGAGCATCTCCTCCATTCATCTGGTATTGTTCAAGGAAGGGGACAAAATATGAAACTTGCAATTCCACAGTAAGTGTCAAAAAGCCATTTTTTCTACATAAGCATGATATAAGTGGTGAGTTAGTTCCCTGTGCAACCAGTGTGAAATAGTTTTTGTTGGATGTATCTGAGAGCAGTCTAAATACATATTGGCTTTTGTGGTACCACTCCATTTCATATTTATGAAGAGGAATATTTACCATTGTTACCATTTAACCGTGATAAAATTCTCTAATTTGTGTCAGAAGGAAGATTCCTGTTCAGTTTTAACCAGCCAGTATAATTAAAGCAATTCTTGATTCAGTAGGAAAGTTTCACTAACAAAAATAGATTTTTAATATTTTTCATGTTAATGCTCTTCAGATGACCTCCTTTAAAGGCTTGCTTATACATTCCTGAAATCTCATTAAGGCTTTATAGACTGTCCTCCACCACTTTCTCTCTCTTTCTTTCTGCTTTTTTCAATTACTGTGGAAACACTCTTGTCTGTAGACTTCTGTTTCTCTGCCAGAACTACTGGTTTACACAAGCTAGACAGTAGTAAATCTGTCTCAGTGCTAGCTTACTTTACCCTGCAGTCGGCAGGGTGGTAGAAGTAAATGTGTTAGATGATAGAGAAAAAAGAGGATTGTGGTATTTAAAAGGAAACATAACCTGAGTTGTCTTTTTGTCCCTTCTTTGAACTTTTTTATTACTTAAATGCAAAATGGCTTCTGTGGTACAGTTTAGTGCTTGTTGGTTTAATTTCAGAAGTGCCTTCCTTCAAACTTTCTATCTGCTTCTATTTTCTCAGTTAGTTCATATTTTATGGTGGGACTATAGCTAAAAGTTGAATTCACTTCCTGTTTTGGTCCCATCCTAATACTTCAGTGGGAGCAGCTGATGACACTTAATCCTCGAAGAATTGGGCCCTTAGTGGTATACTATGGTAAGCTAGTCAAAGCAATAAATATACAGTGTGGGGATATGAAGCTCTTAGAAAAATTTGTAGTAGGAAAAAATTTTCAAAAGTGCCCAGGGCATTTAGGACCAAATCCTAATAACTTTCAAAGAGATTTAGATTCCTAAATTATCTCCAAAGTACATGTAGAAACCATTGTGCAAGATGCTGAGCATTTTGGCCCCTACCCAGTGAAGCACTTGAACATGTGTCAAAATTTATACATTTGAATAGTTCTATTGATTTCGCTGCAGTGATTCAGGTGCTTAAATTCAGGCATGTGTTTATGTACCCTGCTATATCAGGGCCTGTAAGCAAACACTTCTGTAGATTAGGTTACAGTGTGCAGTATCTTGCTAATAGAGTTATAAATCAGAATTATATGTAATCACTAGCTGGCAGAAGTAGGACATTTTAAAATTAGGCTAGATAATCAATCTCATTTCATTTTTCTCTGTTTTTGTGATTTGTTCTCTTTCTTTTTCTGACCTCACCCCCCCACATGGTTGGAATCTCACTGTACAGTTTGGGCACATCTATTGGCGATTCTGAAAGCTGTTCTGGTCAATCTTCAGCTCTCTCTCCTCTAGCTCGTCTTAATCCCTCGGCCTCTTCACCCACCTTTTTAAAATATATAAAGCATAATTCAAGCAGAGAACAAAGTGGGCATATTGCCCAAAAGAGGTGAGATGGCAGATGTATGTAGTTTGGAGAGTGTTTGGTTTATTGTAGCTTAAACACAAAACATTGCATTGTTCTCACTTACTGTGTGCACAGTGACTGAATAATAATGTTGATGATGATGATGATTAAAATCTACCAGAGGAGATGTGTTTACTTATGATGTTTACCTATATGGCATTTTAGTGTAGGGCACTTGGTGTGATTTTTTTTATTTTGATTGAATGAAATTAGTTCAGATACTCTCACACACCACTGTTGTGTTGGAATCAGTTGCCAAAGACACTCAGATGCTCTCTGTTTCTCCAGAATTTTTGGACATCTTCCTGATGCAGCTCCTGGGGGAGGGTACTGGAAGTTCTGCACTAAGGATATTAAAATGCGGTTAATTGACTAGTTGATTACTCGATGGAATTTCCATCAACTATTTGATTAGTCAACAGGTACTTGCGCATTTCTCCTTTGAAATGTACAAGAGCCCCTGCTCTCAATGGGGGCACTTGTACATTTCGAAGGAGGATTGCGAAACTCCGCATACAGCCCAAGGCCAGCAGGAAGTCCCACTGACTCTGGGCTGCATGCTTGTGCCTGCTTTGAAATGTACAAGAATCTTCATACAGGCAGGCAGTTGGGCGGGGAGGAGGGATATTTACTAGTCGACTAGTCAGAAGACTATCAGATAAGCACATGCTTATTGGATAGTCGACTAATCTTTAACATGCTTATTCTGCACCCTGCCTGCACTTGCAGCCATCAACCCACTCTCACCGCTCCCATTGGCCACAATTCCTGGCCAAATGGGAGTGACAGAGGTGGAGCCTGTGTGGGACTGGGAACCAGCAGCAGCGCCAGTGCAGGAGCCAGAAGCCAGTGACACGCCCAGCCTCAGTGCGGGGCCGGGAGGTAGCAGCCTGTCCCACATGGACTGGAGTGGTCCCCTGTCCAGGATCCCGCTTAGTCAGTTAAATGATAGGTTAACCTTACAGTTAATTGGTTAACCAATTAATTGGGATTTTATATCTCTAGGCAGAAGCAGGCTGGGGTTTTGCAATCTGTGTGGGAGGAAGGGTGCAGGTGTGGGATGGGGGTGCTGGGTTTGAGTGGAAGGAAGGGTGCAGGAGAGTCAGCTGGGGGTTTGGGGTCTGGGTGGGAAATAGGGTGCATGGCAGCAGTGAAGCGCCTGGGTGGGAGGGAACAGAGGATTGGGATTCCTACCTGGTGCAACTCCTGGGGGAGGCACTGGCAGCTCTGTGCCCCCCTGTGCTTGCAGGCATTGGCCCCCGCTGCTCCGATTGGCCACAGTTCCTGGCCAGTGGGAGTGATGGAGGTGGAGTCTGCAAGCAAGCACAGGGGCAGAGCTTACCTGTGCTGCCATTCTCCTAGCCAGGGGAGAAGAGGAATGGCAGAAGGCAGAGCCCACAGGCTGGATGCTGACAGCACTTGCCTTGATCTGGCCCACAAGGCTTGGCTCTCCCCTTTTCCCCCACCCATGTGGCTGGAGTATCAGCACTAGCTCCCCACCACGGAGAGAGCCCTGAGCCTTGTGAGCCAGATCAAGGGAAGCCCTGGGCCAAGGTACCCCATCCCTGGTTTGTAGGAGATTCTGGTGTATGGAACTTCAATCTCATGCTGACTCTGTTCCACTACTTATAAATAATTAGTCATTGGACTAGGGTCATGAACTTGGGTCTTCCACATCCCAGCGAGGATTCTAACCACCAGACTATACAATAATTCTTTCTAGGCCTATGACTATTCAAGTGTTTTCTACAAAGTAGAACAACTTCAACAAGAGAGACTTAGCGACCCCCTACAGAATAGCCTACTCCAAGTAGCTTATTCTGTATGATTTCTTAATACAGTAAACTTGCAATAATCCGGCACCTTTAGGACCCAGGGGGTGCCGGATTATCAGATATGCCGGAGTACCGGAAGGGGGGCTATGAGGAGTCTGGGGTGGGGCGGTCGGAGGGGAACTGTGCAGCGTGGGAGAGTGCAGCGCTGTGGGACCAACCCGGCAGCCCCGCAGCTGCCCTGCCTCCAGTTTCCCCAAGTGAGCTGCTGCTGAAACTGACCTGTGGCAGACTTGGGGAAGCCGGGGCCAGAGCAGCTCCAATTGTCCGGCTGGCCGGAGCACTTCCGAGTTCCAGTTGGTGCCGGACTATCCACTGGATGCCGGACAATTGGAGTTTTACTGTCCTTAGCAATGTTACCTTCTAGTTATTACAGACTAGATGACTTTATCAGCTTCCATTCCAAGCACAAAATGTCATTAACTCAGCTGCGTTCTACTGTGGGAGCTTTGTGTAGGTAGTTTAGGAGAGAAAGGTTGGGAACAAGAATTATATTTGCTGAAATGCTTCTAGAGAGGTTTGATTGGTGCTTCTGCCAGCCATATAAGAGTAACAAACAATCAGATGCCAAAAATTTTACTGCTGTTTGAAAGTCATTGTCACTTTTTATAGTCAACTTATTCAGTTGCTGCCCCCACATACTAGCTAGAGAAGTGTCAACTGTTTTCCACCCCTCCTACTCCTGCACTCCCTCAAAAAGCAGGATATTGGAACATGTACCTATCAATTTTAGCAGTTGTTTGGCTATAAAATAGCATGAATTCTTATTAGATTAAATAAATACGGTTTGGAATGACTGCCATATGAAGAAAAGTCTCAGAGGGATAGTCATGTTAGTTTGTAACTGAAAAAAACTTAAAACAACAAATGGTCCTACAGCACCTTAGAGATTAACAAAAATGTAGATAGTATCATGAGCTTTCGTGAAGTGGGTTTGCCCCCAGAAAGCTCATGATGCCATCTACATTTTTTGTTAGTCTCCAAGGTGCTGCAGGGCCATATGTTGTTTTTGTAGGTTTTGCCATTTGAAGAGAGATTAAAATGATATGGACTTTTCAGTTTGTAAAAGAGGAGTCTAGGAGGTATATGGTAGAGGTCTATAAAATCATGCATGACTAGTGTGAAGAAGGTGAATAAGGAAAAGTTATATATTTGTTCCCATAACATAAGAACTAGGGGTCACCAAATGAAATTAATAGATAGCAAGTTTGTTTGTCAAACAAACAAAAGGAAGTAATACTTCATGCACTGCACAATCAACCTGTGGAACTCCTTGTCAGAGGATGTTGTGAAGACAAGGACTTTTACAGGGTTCAAAAAAGAGCTAGATAAATTCATAGAGGATAGGTTCATGAATGGCTATTAGCCAGGATGGGTAGGAATGGTGTCCTTAGCCTCTGTATGTCAAAGGCCAGGGATGGGATTATTTGATGATTACCTGATCAGTTCATTCCCACTGGGGGTACCTCGCATTATCCAATGTTGGCAGACAGGATACTGAACTAAATGGAACCTTTGGTCTTACCCAGTATGGCCATTCTTATGTTGAAACATGCACTATAAATCCTTGGGCATAGCAGATAATTAACTTATTAGAGTATACTAATACTAGAACAGTTAGGTGATCCAAATATGATTTCAGAGTAGAGCTTGAGACACAATTTTAGTTTTTACTTTATTTTCCTTGGTATTCTGAAAGTGTTTTTATTTTGAAGCTTGCAGTGTGTATTTTTTTAATTCTGCATATTTATACTTCCTCATTCTAAACTGCACTTTTCCCAACTGCACTCTCAGCACCTCCTACCGTACTGCCCTACGGAAAAAGCTTCATTCTTCCTCCTCTGTGCCAAATTTCTTAAAATTTCTGGCTCCTGTAGATGAAAATAACGCCTCTGACTTTAGGAGTGCAACAAGGTAGGGTTCTGTCTTCAAGTCTGGATATAAAACTGTATTATTCAAAGGATTTTTTGTTTTAATTTTGAGAGCACTTTCTATATTTGTAGAAATTAATAATTTATCACTCGCTTGCTTGTAATAGATGAAGTAAGCTAAATGAGAATGCCATCAAAAGTCGAGCGGTTACCATGGTTTCTGTTCTGTATAGACTCTGGATCTGCTGTCCCTTTCTGAATCCAGATGTCATGATAATACAGCTTTAATTCCCACTGTCTGACTCCTCTTGCCCAAAAGGGCACATCCATATTACCAGAACATCATTAAGAAAATACAGGGTACATCCCACACTACAGTAATTTCCTTAGGCTGGAATGAGCCTATTGACATAGTCCTTGGCTTATAAAACAAGTTACTGCCAAAGCTCTCTAAAGCTTATTTGTTTCCTTCAGTATTCAACACAATCTCCCACAAGTCTCTCAATCTGCAGTAACTGAAAAGACAAAAAATGAACTGAGTTCTTAAAAGAGTTAACAGTGGGATTTTTAAAGTGGACAGATACTGTTGATCATTACTTAGAGTGTTTTGTTAAAATTCAGAATTATGTGAAGCCTATCAGAACAAAGACATAGAACCAGGATTCCTGGGAACTGTTCCTAGCTCTGTCACTGATTTTCATAGTGTGACTTGGAGGAAGTCACTTAGCCTCTATGTTCATCGGTTTTTGAGTTTGAAAAAGAAGTGCAACATGTACCGAATGCACAGGGGTTGTAAGTTTTAACAAATGTTTATAAAGTTTTTTGAGATCCAGTAATTAAAGGCATTGGGGAAAATGCCAAGTGCTGTTAACTAATCATGTAAAGGTTTGTTAGTGTGTATAAGCAGTGTTTTCACCATTCTGTATGTACACATGTTACATATTGTGTGAATTTAAATATTATGACAAAATAAATTGTAAAATGTTGACATTAAATTCATAAAAAATGTGGCAAGCAAATGCTGAAGAAAGCCATGTGCCCAGTCGCTAACTTAAGTGATACATATGACCTTGTATATGCATGCTGAAATGGGGTGAATTTCACCCATTTAACACCTGTAGGCTCACCCTGCATGTATAGGACACAGAGCTGTCCTTCCTTGATAGCTTTGGTTTTTATGTCTACTGAAACCTAACACTTCAGTATCATTATATAACTTTTGTGCCTGTCATAACTTATACATAAGCCATTCTGTACTCTGTAATTTTAGTGACTATGAGTCTAAACAAAGCCAGCTGGATGTTGGCAATGACACCCCTGTAAAGACTCGCCGGCATTCATGGAGACAACAGATATTCCTTCGAGTTGCAACTCCACAGAAAGGATGTGATTCTCCTAGTCGATATGACGGTAAGATCTGTATTTGGCTATACTCTAACAGCCCTAACTGACCTCCAAAGTACTAATTTTCTGTAGTTGTGTCTGCTATATGTAGGGTTTGACACTTTAAACAGCTTGAGAAGAACTACCTTTGTTAATTTTTGGTTGCTATTTAATCACCTACCACGTGGCTCATTTCCATTGTATGTTTCCCACACTCTTTGTTGTGTCATAGCATGGCTTACCCAGCTATGGAACTTTTATTTTTCAACTCTAGGTTACCTCTACAATAATATCTGAGAGTGCATTACACCAGCTAGCTAAAGAAATGTGGGGGGCAGAGGGTGGGACATACCTTGTTATATATATTTCATTTAATCCTGTGAAATAATTGTTTTCTCAGTGGTGCCTTTTAGTACATGGTGTGGATCGGTTTACATTATTTAAAGAAACTATAATACCACTATGTGATCATCTTATGTCACATAGAACTGAGCTTTCAAAGGCAAAATTCGCATCCATTTTGTGCAAAGAGGTATAACATTTCCAATTACAGTGGAGTTGCATCTGCTTAAAACTGGACTGAATTAAGCTTCAGTTGTGTACCCTCAGTCCAAAACACTTGCCTTGTTTGAATAATGATTTCTTATCTCTTCCCCCCCTTATTTTCTTCCTTTAATTCCTTTAAAGAACCTCAATGAATTTTGGATTAACTTTTTTTAAAATATAGCATTTGGTTGTGGTATGGCTGAAAATAAACAACTCTCTCAGAGAATAGAACAGAGAATTTTTGCCAGCTCTAATTAGGTGGTGTTCATTACTTTGTGCTGTTCATTACTTTGTGCTGTTCAAAAGCTTTGTAAAATGATACTCCCTTTTCATTATTCTTGGTATGCCTTATGGAAACACCTAATGGAAACCTATTTTTGTGGTGTTTCCATAAGGCATACCAAGAATAATGAAAAGGGAGTCTCATTTTACAAAGCTTTTATTATTTTGGAATTAAAAGATGAGCAAGCAAAAATGAAACTGCAGACCATTGTCCACAGAGTTGGGATTTCTTACTGCCAAACATTAATGCAACATGCAAGAGGAGCCCACAAATAGCATAAAGGTATTTATATACCACCAAAGTAATTTTACAAATTTGATTGTTAGAGTAGTTGCTGTATGGTTTTTCTCTAGCATCATCCTCAAAGCTTACTACTTTCACTTCCAAGTGCAAAGCACAATTTTTCAACCTCGCCTTCTGTAATGAAAATGTCATTCTTCATAACAAAGACAAAGCCTTACACTTTTTTCCTGCTGGAAAGAGCAGAGGAATGGAAAAGTCACCATATATAATAGATACCAGCCACTGCTTAATTCATCTCTTACAACTGCTCTGATACCATGATACAGGCATGGTGAAAACATGAATAGAATAGATGTATGGAGTGCTGCTTAAGTTGAGCTATGCAGTGAATCTGCAAAGTTTTGCAAGATTGACATCCTTGACAGAAATAGGGTTACACATGAATTCAAAGCTCTCCTTTAAAAAAAAGAAATAACTCCTAGATATAATACCTGATCTAGCTCTTTCTCTGGGGCTTGTCAGTGTACTGCAGTTGCAAGATACTATTTTAACAATCTACAGCTTGATAAACAGAATAGCTGCAGAAATAAGGGAAGCTAAGATGTGATGGGTTAGTATTAATTATTAGAGAACTATTTATGTGATTTAGTTACTTCCCTCTCTTTTCTGTGTAATATATTTGAATTTGCTTCTCTTCCCCCATGTATATATCCATTTATGTATAGAAACCAGAGTGGTAAACTCATTCACTTTAGCTTAGTATTAATTTTTTCTACTGTTAATTTCATAACTAATGTTGTGCATAGAATTTTGTATTTTTTGGCGCAGAATTTTTATTAGTTTTTGTTGCAGAACTCCTGCAGGAGTAAAGTGTTCATGGGATAAGAATAGAATAGGAATAAATGGTCAATTTTTACAGTGGAGATGGGTAAATAGTGGTGTCTCTGAAGGATCTGTACTGGTTCCTTTGCTATTAAACATATTCATAAATGATCTGGAAAAAGTAAACAGCAAGATGGCAAAGTTTGCAGACAATAACAAATCACTTATGATATTTAAATCCAATTCTGACTTGGGAAGAGTTACAAAGGTAAATCAAACATCAAGTATGGTAATACTGATAACAGTAGGAGAGCTCTTCAACCTCCCTTGACACTGGGGCTATGTCTGAACTGGGAAGGTTTGGTGACAAAAGTGCTGTCAACATGAAGAAGTCACCAAAAGTGAAAAATGATCAGGCTGTTTTTTTTGCCTCCCATTGTTGACATTTCATGGCTACATTGTTAGAACCCTATTGACAGACAGAGCAAAACATTGTGGGTAAGCATCCCACATGCAGTGTCGTGGGAAGGCAGAGCTTATCCTTGTGCTTCTTGGGATTCCCTCATTGCTCTGTACATTGTGGGTAAGCATCCCACATGCAGTGTCGTGGGAAGGCAGAGCTTATCCTTGTGCTTCTTGGGATTCCCTCATTGCTCTGTGAACTCTCAGTGCTGAGGAATGTCAAAGCAGCACAGCAGCCTCTCCAGTCTTGCCCCTGCAGCAGCAGTCTGCCTGCTGCTGTGTTTCTAGCAAACCATTCCAATGATTTGTTCTTTGTTTGTTCCACAAATGGAGCAACTCACGCAGCTGTCAAGTACTTCCCAGAGCTTTGGAAGGGGAGGAGTGTATGCCTGGAGGACAGCAGAGATCACAAACCACTGAGGACAGCCATCAGGGCAGGCATTGTGGGATACTAGTGGAAGCCAGTTCTCTTGACAAAACAAACCACAGAGTCCGCACTGGCTCTTTGTTGATAATAAAGGGAGGGAAAATGACAGAAGCCTCAGGGCTAGAAGTTTTTTGTCACTAAAACTGGATGATTTTCCAGACACAAGTCACATTGTTGTGTGAACACTTTCACTGTTTTGTTGCCAAAAGGCAGTTTTTAGCAACAAAATGTGCCAGTGTAGACAAGGCCTTAGTAACAGACCTGAAAATTTCCATAATGAAACTTCAGAGCAGGAATTCATATGCAAACTTAACACTATCAAACTAGGTCAGAATAGAGAGAGGGTGTGACTAGCTCACTACAAATAATAATCTTCCTTCTTTTGATATTCTCACCTTCTTATCAGCTGTTGGGAATGGGCCACATTTTATTGAATTGGCTTTGTTAGTACTGGTCCTCTACATGGTAATGTAACATACCTATCTTTGCATGTGTGTATATATCCCTGCCAAGGGTCTCATGGATCTGCTCCAGCCCACAAAAGCTGATGTCCAAATAAATTTGTTAGTCTTTAAGTTGCCACAGGAATTCTCATTGTTTTCATAAAACTGGGTGACTCTGCAACAACATGGCAGATTAAATTCAGTGTTGATAAATGCAAAGTAATGCTCATTGGAAAACATAATCCCAACTCTACATGCAAAATGATGGGATTTAAATTAGCCTTTGCCACTCAAGAATGAGATCTTTCAGTTCCTTGTGGGCAGTTCTTTGAAAATATCTGCTCAATGTGTAGTTGCAGTCAAAAAATCTAACAATATTAGGAGCCATTGTGAAAGGGGTAGGCAATAAGAAAATATCCAAATGCACTATCAAATGCATAGTACTTCCCCCCCTCACACCTTGATGAATGGCATGGAAAAATCATGAATGGCATGGAAAAAGTGAATAAGGAAGTGTTATTTACCACTTCATATAAAACAAGAACCAGGAGTCATCTAATGAAATCAACAGGCAGCGGATTTAAAACAAACAATAGAAACTTGTTGCCAGGGGATGTTGTGAAGCCCAAAACTATAACTGAGTTCAAAGAAGAATTAGATTGGTCCATCAGTGGCTATAGCCAAGATGCAACCCTATGTTTTTAGAGTTCCTAGCCCTCTGAGTGCCAGATGCAGGGTATGGATACCAGATGATAATTGCACCCTTCTGTTTATTCTCTCTGAAGCATATGGTAGTGTGAACTGTAAGAAGACAGGATACTGGGCCAGATGGACCATTGGTCTGATCCAGTATGGCCTTTCTTATGTTCTTCTGAATCCATCTGAATGCAAGGCATTCTGAGCAAGTTTACTGCCTTCACGTGACCCTCTTATCTGTAGCTAAAAGAGATGACATGCAAAATAGGAACTCAAGTTCTCATTGTAAAAAGTGAAAGACAAATCTGGCCAGTCATAACTAAGCAATATAGTTTGAATCATAAACTATAGAAAACATTATTAGATTTGGTGTGATAATGAATAATTTGTGAAAATCATAAGTTTTATTAGAGCAAAATGTGTCTAACAGATGATTTGTTATAATTTATTTGCTCAGATCTATCTAGTATACCTATATTTATATAGCTATAGACAAACACCTTAACAAGAGGAGCTACTTCTTCACACAGTGCACGTCTACTTGTGAAACTCATTTCCTAGGGGACGTTGCAAAGGCCAAAAGTACAGCTTGATTCAAAACAGAATCAGATAAGTTTATTGAAGACCAGTCCATAAATAGCTATTAACCATAGTGGTCAGAGATTCAAACCCATGCTCTGGGTTTCCCTAAATCTCTGAATGCCAGAAGCTGGGTCTGGATGATGGGATGAATCACTTCATAATTGCCCTGTTCTGTTCATTCCCTCAGAAGCATCTGGCAACAGGACACTGGGTTAGATGGACCATAGGTCCCACTCACTATGGCCAAATCCTGCCTAGATAGTTTTCATGCAATAAGGGGGTAATAAAGTTTTCATCTGCTTACTTAGTGGCAGAGCACAGAGAAATATATTTTCAGCCAAAAAATGTATATGTTAAAAAAAAAAAAATTCATTTAGCTCTACTCAGTATCTTAGAAGGTCACAGCAAAAGTCTGGATGTAGACATAAGTTCCTCCTACTTTGTTTATTATTTACTGCAATTCTGTTATGTATTATATGTTGCTATATATAGCAGCAGCCAACAGAACTTTCATTTTACAGGA